TTTTCTATCAGGACTCGAACTCAGGAATTTGCACTTTCCAGGCAGGCACTTTCGCCACTAAGCTATATCCCTGGCCAGTTTAGGGCTTTTTGTTGTTGTCTTGGTATGATTGTATTATGGTGTTTTTTTTGTTGTTGTTGTTGGGTTTATCTATTTGTGAATAAATATATTATTCAGTTATTTTTCTGAAGCTTGAAAAGAAGAACTGAAGAAGTATTATATAGTGGTTCTGAAATCTTTTTCATGTATTTTTGCAAAGTACACAGTAGCAGTACCGCTACTGATAGTGACATTTGGAGCATACATCAGATGCCCATTCTCTACTGAATCTACCTCTGTTCTGGCAGGTGCTGTGTCACTGAGCTGAATCCCTAGCCTTTTACCTCTGTTCTGAAGCAAAAATAAAAACAAGCTTCAGAAGCATGAAATCATGTAAGAGCTAAATTAAAATGTGAAAATATTTATTACCTTAAATTATAAATCATTCTGCTCGGGCCGGGGAGATGGCTCAGTAGAATAAGCGCTTCTTTGGCAAGTGCAAGGGTCTGACTTCAATCCCTGGTCCTGGGGGGGGGGAGGGGAATCATTCTGCTACCAGTTATACTTTGTAAAACAAATTGCAACAGAAGACTTGTAAGCTTTTTTTTAATAAAACTTAGAAGAATCATTGTCTTGATAATCAGTTAAAATGTGGCAACTGAAGATAGAAGTTGTTCATGTTGGACACATTAAAATAAGTAAAAAAGACATACTTGCGTTTTAAAGTATAAATGCTATTATACTAATATATTTTGTATTTCAACCAAATATACCATTTTAAAAGTTTTATTTTTTTCACTCATTTTAAACAGCATGATGGCAGAGATGCCATCATGAATCTGCAATTACACAGCATATCTAAAATACTATAGTTATTTTTTAGAACAGTAATTAAAATTTTATTCTCTATATTAATGAACTTAAGCATTTGAATGACAGTATTTTAAAGAAATCACTCTTATGTATTGAACTTTATTGAATGCATTTACGTTTTGGACACTAAGTGATTATATTAGTGAAAATCATTAAGGTTTTCTAATATGGTTGAAATCTTTATTAGAAATGTTTAATTTTGCTATTATTCAGAGGATCTTACTGCTGCTTATTATATATTAGATTACATTTTTATCAGCTTGGTCAGTTTAACATATGTTTTATGAATTAACAAAAACCTTTTCAGCCTATGGAAATTCAAAAGAAAGGTCTCAGCAGAAAAATTATATATATTTACACATACATGTGTTTGTGCTTCTCATGTAGTACTGTGCTGGGTAGAAATTTCTATGTACATAGAAATTTTCTTTCTATGTACTGTGGAGCTCAAATGTTTTAGCTTAGATGCAGGCTATTTCTATTTCAAATTAAATATCTAGAATATTTATTGTACTTGTAATTTTAAACTGTTAAGATGGGAGCTAAAGTAATTTTGATATTATTTATAGTCTTTTGCGTAAACCAGAGGCATGTTACAAGAGGAAAAATGTCCATGAGATACTTTACGTAGTACAACACTTTGTAAGTGATATATCATAAAATGTAACTTTTGGCAAGACACTTAAAACCGACAGCTATATAACCCAGGTTTACATGGTGTCTGTAATGCTGATTGCAGCTGCCAATCCTATATATTTATAATGAATATTTAAAGGACTGTGTGTCCTCTTTATTGTAATGGAAGTTATGTAGCTGAGTGTGTAAAAAGTGTCTCTTTTGTATTACATTATTAAAAAGACAGGGTAGTTGTATTAAAGATTACCAAGAAGCACTTATTACCTTTGCTTTTATATTTTCTTTTCTCTTACAAAGGACCATGTAAAAAGTAAATATAATTAATGCAGTGGATTTTGTTGGTGTTCTAAGTGTGACACTCTGCTGGTTGCTTAATTGTGAAACTGTGAAACCTAATTGTTGTTATTTTAGTTCATAGCATTACTGCTGTATGAAATGTAGCATGTTAGGAACCAATATAATAGGACTGTGGGAGAGTAGTTAATATCCTTTCACATATCAGCCTGACTAAGGGGAAGTGAGGGAAGATACTTGTAACTAAATCAATGCTACAGCAATATGCAGTATATGAAATATTACAATATGCTAAAAATAGTAAAATATTATTTACAATTGCATATGCATGTAAATGTCTGTTTGATTTTTTTTTCTTCCTTTGTTATGACTGTGTATTCCCCACAGGGAGCAAAAACAGATGCCATCATTGGTTAACTTTTCAACCACTTTATAAAACCAACAAAGTAGATAAAATGGAACTATTAAAAAGTACTTAACATAGACAGAAAAAAAGAGGGGAAGAGAAACAAATGGCAAGATGGTAGGTCTAAACTGAGCTGCTTCAGTAATCGCAGTAATTGCATTTTAACTGGAGTGTTTAAGTCATTAACAGACTGTCAAAAAGAGACAAGGTCCATAGGGCAACCCTGTTCTCAGCTTTCTGAAGAACGTCCATCCTGTTCTCTATAGTAATTCCGCTCCCACCAACAGTTTCTCTTCCATAGCCTCACCAACATTTGTTATTTTTTCTTTTTGATAATAGCCATTCTTACTGATACGAGATGGTTTCTCGCTGTGGTTTTGATTTGCACTTCCCGATGGCTAATGATGCCAAGTCCACCCAGGGTACACATCCACAGCCATGGAAAGAAGCACACCAAAGGGATACTGGGTTCCTATGTTTACTGCGGCACTGATCGTAGGGGCTAGGGTGTGGAAGCAGTGCTTTACTCTTGAGCTTAGTTGTAGGAACAGGTAAGTTACTGGGGGAAAAATGGACATTTTACAGGTTTGCTTTTAAACTAGTGAGACAGTTATAGGACAGCTTAATTTTTTTCTTGAGGCCACTCTTTTCTGAGTATCCTGATACCAATTAAACCGGTGAAACCCACAATATTCCTGACCTTGTGTGAGCTCTAAAACAATGGTTTCCCCTTGTCCCTGGGAGGTGGGACAAGGGGTTCCTTTGGTGGCATGGGGTAGTGTGAACGGTACTTAGCTGAGGACTCCAGGTGCACTCTGTAGCACTCCGTGTGGCTGTTGGCTTGTGTAAGCTCTCCAGGGAACCCTGCTTGTTGGTCCTGGGCCAGCCTCATGATGCTCCCAACTGCAAGACTTCAGGCTCTTCCAGGGCTTCTCTTCCTTACCCCCCATCTTAAAGTTTCCTTATAAGTGAAGTGGGGCTCACATAGCTGTTAAACGTTTCCTCACTTTTACAAGTTACACTGTCCACTACCTGATGCCTTCTGTTTATTTCATGTTTTAGCAGGTGATAGTATACCAATCCATAATCTCTTAAGCCTTTTTTCAGCCAGTTGTGGTACATGCCTGTAATTCCAGCCATTCAGGAGGCTGAGGCAGAAGGAAAACTTGGTGTTCAAGACCAGCCTGGGCTACACAGTGAGTTTAGTACCAACCTGCACTACATAGTGAGACCCGGTCTTAAAAAAAATAAAGGCCTCGTTCCCTGTACAAATTTGTAGTACATAATAATCGTATTTACCACGGGCAGTTTGTACCTACACATCTCAATTATCTTGCACCACTCTCCCTAATAAAACAACTTGAACATGGACTGTGATCCCTTTTTACTACTTCTCACACTTTCTTCCTTTTTTTGCCTCAGTGATTGCCTCAATTTCTAAGTTCTGTTATCCTTTATTTTACTAATTTTTGCCTTTAATTTTATGATTACCAATCTTTTACTCTCTGGATTTTTTTCTCTGTTTGCATGTTTCTGATGTTCTGTATCTTCTTTTTTTTTTTTTAATTCATTTACCAACGGAGGGTGTATTTAATATGTACCGTGTACCAGAACAATGTACTAATATGGATGTTACAGTGTAGTAGTTTTTTTTCAAAACGTTAATAGGACAGTTTCGATAATTAATACATTGTACATTGTTATCTTCTTAGTGGTTATCCATAGTACAAAATGCAGACATGATATCCTGTCCAAACACTATTAGTACAAATCTTTCTTCTCATTGAATTAAGTGAAAGTATCTGTATATCCTAACTATTCTGTATATACAGATACCAAATGGTCCTTCCTTTGTATCCCCTTTTTTGTTTAGTCCTGTCAGAGATGGGTATTCCATTGCGTCTAAATACTATAGGTGCGTGAATTCAGCAAAACAATCCAACACAGTCCAGCACAGTGGGTTATCCGTAGAAGTTTGTATCTTCTCTAAGAAAAGGACTTGTGAGGCTGCCCACTGACATTTATGATTAAAAGATGGATGCTGAATTAAAAAGTAAATAATGTAAAATGTTTTAGGGTTTACTCAAGTTTGAAGACCATTGAGATTTATCATTTTGCTTTTTCTGATGGTTTTGTCTTCTTAAATGTTTTTACAATTACTGTTTTAATACTATATTATTTTAGTAACAGATCCTGGAATATTTCTTCGTTCACTGTTTTTAAACCTGTTTCACCCAGCTGTAGGCATTGAAAAATAACCTAATGGACTGTGCAGTTCCCAAATACTACAGAACTTAGACTGAACATTAGTTTTAATCTTTAAAGACCCCTAATGATTTAGTTTAGTCCCATTTTAATGACATGACAAAGTGCCCATTTTAGCATTATCTTCAGTAACCAAAAACTCAGGCAGATATCCATGTCAACTGTGACATATTTATACAATGAAGTGCTGTCCAACAACAGCGTATAAACACTCTTCGTAGATGGATCTCACAATGGGATATTAAGGATCCAGGAAAGTGCATATGGCGATTCCATCTGTGAAGTACGTGACCAGACAGAATTAACCTGTGGGACTGACACTGAGAAGCATGGCTATTTAGGAGTAATGGGAGCGTCTGAGGCTGGCAGGTGGCCTGCATCATCTCCACATACTTGTCTTCCCCGTGCAGAAATACAGCCGGCTGTGCTTCCTGTGCACTTCTTGAGTAGATGCTATACTTCAATAAAAATTCACCAAAAAAAAAATAGACTTTGTGCTTCTTATTACCAAAAGAAAACCATGGCAAATATTCTGAAAGATATTATTTGGCCTGTCTCACTGTTGCTGATGTGTGGTGGTATTCGCGTGCACACTGCCACTTAGAATATCATTTAGCTTTAACCTGCGCAGCTGATGCAGCTTCTTCGCGCCACTTAGCTTTCTTTGCTAGGTTCCACCTTGTTAAAGATTCATGCCGTTCTGCAGCCTGCAAAAGAGAGAAGCAAAGAGAAAAAAGAATTGTGGCTCTCCAGAAAAATTTGTATTTTAGTTGAGCATGTATGCGAAATTTTGAGAAAAGTAACTTAAAACATCTATTACGAATAATATCCAAGAAAATGGTTCTTTGGTATGGAAAAAAAAAATCCTAGACTTCCAGTTAATAGGATAGCAGATGTAAGAAGAACCACCATCCTCTCTTGGTACATGTAGACTCGTTGGTGCAGCATAACAAATTAGTTTCACATAATTAAACCTAAAACAAAGGGAAGTAAATCTTTAGGCCTCAGAAATGAAAGTAACTTGGAAGGAATAGGTAGGAAGAAGTGGTTTCAGTTGGGGCATTTGGAAAAAGTTAAGTGTCCTTAATAGGTATGGGCTACAAATTTAATCCATATTGTTTCTGACTGTGTGTATTTGTCCCTCCACAGCCTCATGCAGTCATGAGGCAGACTTCTAGAGTTTGTGATTAATTCATGATCCAAGGCTGGGATTATGGGTGTGGGATATCTCCAACCTGGGGCAGATAGCCTGAATGGATCGTGAGGGAGATAGAGACAGACTTGTTCTCTGTTGCCATTGTTGCTGTTACTCCTCCCTTTTTGCTCTTGCTGTTTTGCTGTTTTCTGCTGCCCTGAACTGCTGCCCTCTGCCGTGTGCCCCTCTGCTTGGAGCCAGCTGAGTATGGACTGAAACCTCCAGTAACTGTGAGCTAAATAAACCTTTCCTTCCTTCATTTTGTGTGTCAGGTATTTGTCCCAGCAGTGAGAGAAGAGTGACTGAGACATGTTGTAGCAGAGAGTGTAGAGCCTTCAAGGAAAGCAGGCATTTATTTGGAGGGGAAAACCTATTTGTCTTTTGTGTTGCAAGTGAGACAATATATCCACCATTAAAAGAATTCCAGAACCTAGAGAATCCTAGATTTAGCGGGCAGGCATTTATCTAGGTAAGTTAAAACGAGATGAATGATGGGGCCGGGGAGATGGCTCACTAGGATAAGCACTTGACTGGCAAATGCAAGAATCTGAGTTCAATCCCCGGTTCCGCAAAAAAAACAAAACAAAACAAAAAACAACAACAACAAAAACAAAAAAACAAGAGATGATTGATGGTCTTTATTTTACATTTTTTGTTCAGGTCAGTAAGCATCTTAAAAGTCTGTATTAGGTGAGAATAATTTTAAAGGGTGTTATTTTCCAAGCTAACAGGAACAAACATTTACCTTACTAAGTTTGTGGGTTCTTATCTTGGTATGAGACGGGGCTCAGAATCACTGGTGAACCAGAGGAATGCAGAACACTGCAGGGACAGGATTAGGCAGAGAGTAACTGGCTGACTGCCAGAGAGTGAAGGTGAGGGATCCCAGCACTTCTTGATCATAGTGTGGCTGCTACTGAAATGCTGTGAGCACGACTGAGGAGGAGGTCAGGCTCTAGTGGAGCCAGCTCCAGGGGACAGAGTGAAGAGGGGTGCGCTGAATTGGAGCGTATCCACAGAGTTCTGACGTGGAAGATGCTGTAAGATGGGAAGACTGAGGGATGAGACCCCTATCTCCTAGTTCGAGGGTCGGAGGGGCTCCTTGTGGTGATGGAAGTGACCAGCAGGTGGAAGACTGGGGAAGCAGAGAGCAAGACTGAAACTTGTCACCCTTACTAAGTTTGTGGGTTCTCATCTTGGTATGAGACGGGGCTCAGAATCACTTTCTCCCAAGAGATATCAAACAGAAACTGTGTTAGACACCATGGAAGGACTTGTGTACAGGGTAGACCTACTTTTAATTTTATGTAGCAACTGAGTTCATCATCTAGGGAATGATGTGGTCTGGATAACTTTCATGCAACAAAGTTCTCCTTGTGAAGATTTTAACCAGGATAAAAACTGTTCCATTTTTTTTTTATCTGTGTTGTGAGTGGACCACAGAGTTAGTTTATTAACTCAGATTTCCTATAATAAGATTGCTTCAGGTAAGATAAATTTGTTTTTACTTTAAATTGAGAACAAAGTCCATAACAATTCTTAAAACTTTCTAAGTCCCTCCTTCCTTAGTGCGGGACGGGGAGCCCCTGAGGCCTCAGGTAGAAGGTGTCCCTACCGGTGCCACGCAAGGAGGGACTTACCCTCTTGGCTGATGCTATCACCACAAAGCAGGCAATGACTGTGAGTCCAATCATGATATAGCACACTTTCACCCGGGCTTTGTTCCTTGCAACGTCTATCATTTCAGGCCTAAACCAAGATAGAATTTCGTTACATCAAAGTAACACAGCTTGCCGACAGGTATGATAAGTGATTTGTTATGTGTATATTACAGAAGTTTTCCAGAACAAACAGTAGGTGTGAAAGACTTCCAGTGCATAACTTGCCAATCTCAGATGAACAGATTCAGCTGCTGCGAAACCACAGTGTAGAATATTTAGTTTCTGATAGTACTAGAGGTTGTGAGTTATGTGTCTTTTATTTACTGATTAGGTCAAGTATGTCTCTAAGTCATATTAACCTCTGCTGTGTTCAATACATTTTGTTTGTTTTAGACAGGTTCTTACTACATAGATGCTCCTAAACTTGTGGTGGTCTTTGTTTTCTATTGTGAACAGGATATTTCTAAAAGCTCATTCTCCACACTGACCTCCTGTTCCCTTCTTACTCTCACTTCTGTCCAAAATTAACCACCACACCTCTTATGAGAATGAATAAGACAAAAGTTGTTTTCTTTATGACTGTTGCAGGAACTTTAAAAGAAATGATAAAAATCACAGCAATTTATTGAAGAAAATGACAGAAGGGTATCTTTATTTTTATTCCAAAAGTCTTATTTATTAGTAATGTTAGAAATTGTCCAAGATTTTAGCAATGTTACTTAAAAAATACTATTTCAAAAGTAATCATGCTGGTTAGGTTTTAATATTGAAATAAAACTTTAACAATTTGCAATGATATAAGTGGCAGTTTATAGACATGCATTAAGTATTTGATTCTTGAGAATGTACTCAGTAATACTATTTTTTATTTAATTCAGGTTATGGTCACAAGTGTTTTAGTTTCCAGAAAAATAGGTCACAATTTTCCTTTAAAATGAAATATTTTTCTCTTAATTTTTTTCGCTAGTAAAAGGGCTACCAAATCTAATAAGGAAGTGACTGCTTAGAGTTTAGGCAGAATCATGTAAAGTGGTAAGATGGTGATTGTGAGCAGTTTCAGTTATTGTCTACACAGACATTATTAGGTTCTATTTCTTGCTAGCTTTTATTCCAGATGGAACCTAAAAGAACTGATTTTTTTACCTACCCACCTGACTTTGATATGTTACACCAAATTAGTTAAGCACTAAAAAACAAGACAAAACACAATTATTAAATATAATTAGTATGTTACAAAAACTACAGGTATTTCTCAATTATTTGTCATTAAGAGCACAAAAAGTCAAAACTACTAGATTGCAAATCTAATAGTTTAATAGAAACATCCCTCCTGAATAAAAGTGCTTTAAAAAAAGATTATAGAAAATAATAAAATGAAAAATATTCAAACACTTTTGTTAAGACTACAATGCTTTTCTAGACACTGTAATGATCAATTATGTCAGCTTGAAAAGTTTGCTTAGCAGAAAAGTTAAGAGAAGTTAACAGTTTGTTTTATGACATTAGAAAATGTTTTGGGAATTACAGAAGATAGTGGAGTGTAAGCAACAAAGACAGGACCTCTCCAAGCGCTTCCGTCCAAATGCAGGAATTAACAACATGGGGAAGTTAAGAAGCAAGGAGGCAAGTCCTCCTCGATCCAGGAATGGGTGGAAGCACAAATCGAAGCCTATGGATAACATGAAGAGAGAAACTTCAATGAAGGAGAAGGGTGTACCCAACATCATCTTTTACCTGGGACAGGAAACACTGCATGAGAGGAGGGGTCCAGCCTACCGACACACAGCAAGTGCAGGTGAACACAGGAGCTTACAAGGAGAGAGACAGCAGTGGAAGGAAACACCCACGATGTGAAAGACTTCACTAGATGCCTTGAAGGATTGCCAGTTGCCAGTGAGTGTCGAGAGTTTAGCTGTCCCGTGGGAGAGAGTGATTGGTGAAAGAACCGTCTTGGAGATAGACCCATAGAGCTCAGAACTCAGTGGCTACTGGCTCTATTTATCTGCTCCCAGTGGGGCTCAGGCCCATGGAAGGTGTGCTGGCTGCAGCAAGCTGCCAGAGGTGCAGGCTCACTGGCATTTTGGGGTAAATCAATGTGGATCTGGATGCTGTCTTCATACATTCATTACCAGTGACAACAGAGACAAACTTGGAACTGGAATTTTTGTTGTTCTTGTTGTTTTGTTTTTATGGTTGTTTTTGTTTTTCTCTCCCCCCCCCTTCATTGTTTGAGCATGTCTACCTTCTTTGTGGTTGTAGTTATTTCAGTTCCTCTTTTTGTCCCTTCCTCTCCCTCCAATCTTCTGCATCAGTTTTCCCAAAGTAGCATGATCCCCCTTTGTCTTCCAACCTTCTAATCTCTTCATTTTCTTCCACTTCTCTATTTTCTCCCTAACCCACTTCAATTTTTAACTTTTTTTTGCCATAATTTTTTTTTAATTTTATTTGTGTGTGTGTGTGTGTGTGTGTGTGTGTGTGGCCAGTTCAGCCCACCAGGGGGCGGGGCTGGCTGGCATGTAGTGCTGGGGGATTGAACTGTGGTCGCTGTGCTTTACTAAGCTTGTTCTAAGTAGGTGCTTTAGACCACTGAGCCATCTCACCAGCCCCTTTTTGCCATAATTTCATTGAAACTTTTAACTCTTGAGGGCAAAACTGACATACTAATGACTTGTATACTGCATACAATATTCTAGTTTGTTCTAGACTTTGTTACATAACCACAAATTTGCAGTTCTCTAGGCTGTTTCATGTTATTGTTACTGATAACAACATAGCCAAAAGTGCTATAATTGTTCTAAACAAGTTGTTATAAACATCACTACAGGAATTAAACTAGAAAAAAGAAAGAAAAGAAAATGGAGAAACTAAAACAAGATGCAACCCCAAGCATCACCAAAGTAAACCCAAGGGGCAGTGAGGTGGCACAGTCCAGAAACTACCCATGTGACTTCTCTGAAGTGGTAACAACAAAGCAATTGAATGAAGCTCTAGAAAAAATTAAATCAGAAATAATGTCTCAGGTAACTTCAGAGACGGTGTCCACAATGAATACCATGCCTACTGATTCTAGACCAGACACAGATAAGAAAATAGAGGAGCTTAAGAAAATTATGGAAGCCATGAATGCTGAGCATAGGAAAGAAATGGAATCTATAAGGCAGATTCATGCAAATATCCAGGAGAATAAAAGTTCCATTGAAAGTAATTAATGCAGCAGATTAATGTAGTGAGGACTGGATCTCAGATACAGAAGACAGGCTTGCAGCTAACTATTACAGAAAGATTTCTTAAAAATAGCAAGAAACCACAAAAAATCAGTACAACAGCTGCTAGATGATGCAAGAAAGAATAGCAAGATTAATTGGGGTCAATTAAAAAGCAAGAGATGGCATGAATGATATTAAAAACTGTTCACACACATGGAAGAAAACTTCCCCAGTACAGAAAAAGAATTTGACATGCAGAATAGTGAGACATATAGAACTCCAACTGGCCACGATGCCCCACCCCCACCAAAAACAAAAACAAAAACCTATAGCCAGGCATAGCATAGTCAAGATTCCAGAAATTCAACATGGGAACAGAGTATTAAAGCTGTTGGAGAGCGCTGGCAAGACATCTCGGCAGACTAAGTGCCTGCTTAGGCAAGCACAGGAACCAGAGTTCCATCGGTGGCACCACATACCATGCCACGCTGTCCCTAGGTGTATGAGTTGGCCCCCAAGACAGGGTGTTGTAGCAGGCCTGTAATTCCAGCACTGGGGAGACTGAAACCAGGAGGATCACTATGAGTGCAAGCTGCGCAATGAGACCATGTACCAAATCCATAATAAATAAATAAATATAAAATAAAAGGTGTTAGGGAAAAGAAAAAAGTCACTTATAAAAGAAAGCCCATCAGAATTACAGCTGATTTCTCAGTACAAACCCCCTCAAGTCAAGAAGTGTTTTAAATATTTCAAGCTCTAAAGGAAAACTATCTTCAATTCAAATTGATGTACCCTGCAAAACTGTCTTTCAAAATTGATGGAGAAATAAGATACTTCATGACAAAGCACAGCTGAGGAAATGTGTGACTACCAAACCCGCATTCAAAAATGTTTTGAAGGCCATTCTAGAAGGATAAAACAAGGCCTACAACCCCATAAACCCTAACAGAAGAAATTCAGCAGACAAGGAAAACAGGGAAGGAAAAAAAGATAAACAGGGAGCCAGCAATGGGAAAATAGTACGACAAGGGTAAATCAGTACATATCAGCTTTAACCATCAATGTCAACCACCTCAATTCACCAGTCAAAAGACACAAACTGGCAGGATGGATCAAGAAGCATGAGCCAACAATAATGTTACATACATGAAACACACTTAAAAGGAAATTCATAGACTGAAAGTTAAAGGATGGAAAACAATACTCCATGAGATAGGAACTCAGTAAAAAGCAGGGGTAGCTATTCTATTAACAGACAAAGTAAATTTCAATCTCAGACTGATTAAGAGTGATAAAGAAGGTTAGTACATCTTTGTAAAGGGAACAATCCAAGAGAAAGAGATAACAATCATAAATATATATTCAAGAAATACCCATGCACCCAGCTATATAAAACAAATATTAACAGGCATGAAAAACCAAATAAGCACTAACACAATTGTATTAGAGGATTTCAATAACCCACTGTCGCAGAAAGATCAACTAGACAAAAAAATCAACAATGAAGTAATATAACTGAATCAAACTTTTGAACAGATGGACTTAGTAAATGTCTACAGAGTGTTTCTCCATACAACATGAGAATACACATTCTTCTCAGATGCACATGAGAGTTTCTCCAAAAGAGACGGATTCTCCCATAGAACATGTTTAAGTAAATGCAAAGGAACTGAAATTATTTCATGTATATTAGCAGACCACAGTGCAATGGAATTGGAAATCAATGGCAAAAGAAACCACAGGAACTTCATAAATACATGGCAATTAGCACCCTCTTGAATATCCATTGGGTGACAGATAAAATTAAAGAAATTAGACAGTATCTACAATTATATGACAACAACAACATAATGGAATGTATGAGACACAATGAAAGCCA